GTCGTGGAGGTCTACACGGTCGTCGTCTGTGGCTACTTCCAGTGCAGAGGCAGAGATCTACGCTGGTGCCATGGCGGCACAGGAGCTTCGCTGGTTGACCTTCTTGCTCGCCGACCTTGGTGAGCGGCCTCACTCTGCACCGACCTTGTACGCTGACAACAAGGCCATGATTCTCCTGTGTCGAGAGCCTCGACTGGAGAGCAGAGTGAAACATATTGACGTGAGGTACTTCCTCCTGCGAGAGCTGCAGCGACGCGGCCAGGCACGCCTGGACTTTGTGGCCTCAGAGGCCAACACTGCAGACGTCTTCACCAAGGCCTTGGCGCTTGGTGATCACCACAGGTTTTGTGTGCAGTTGGGGCTTGTTGAGGTAGGCCCTCGGTTGCTGTAGTCTTGTTGCTTGCTCTGCTTGTTGTGTTTTCATATATATATATCATAGTGAACTCTTGAACTGGCCTTGTGGCCGCTTGCTTGCGCTCGGAATTTGTGTGGTGTCCTTGAGATCCACCCTGAGCTTGCCTTGTTTCTTGCTTTGACTGGTCTTGTGACTGTTTGTTCACCATGCTTGCTTTGATGCCCCTCACTTAGCCTACGGGGGTGTGTCAAATGTTGTTATTGGTTGTAGGCTGCAGTGAGTAGCACTCTAAGGAGTACAACACTCTTAGGGTTTCTATTTGTATGCCTTGCTCTCCTAAGTCAAATATTCCGTTGCATTCACTTTCTAAGAGCCTGCGCTTATATCCGGGGCGATACGGTATGAGGGTCGACTGTTGTGGCAGCATGTAGTACGGTACCGTACATTGATGTGCACCTTAAAGCTCAAGGCCCAAATTGCGGGCCACGCAGGGCAAGATTAGTAATCTTGCACACTTCTCGTTTTCTGTGCTGGTGTGTGGCGAAAATTTGGTTACAATAGGGTGCGATGCAATCTGATTGGTCGAAGCCAGGCTCACTGCCAAAGCATTGAGTTTTACTACTCCGCAATTTGGGACTCGAGGTCCCCAAACCCACGTTTCCCCCGAAAGTTCGCTGACTCAGCGAAAAAATCAAGCGTTACGGGCGAAATCAGACAGGTCACCTTCCCAACACTCCCCTCGACTCTACCCACCCCTTAGCACTCAAACTTACGCAAGATTAGTAATCTTGTGCAATTTGGGTCTTGAGCTTTAAGCGCATTCAAATGCACTTTAGTATGCCAGGAAACAAGCCTTAAAGCTCCGGTATACATTTGAATGTAGGGGTTCAAAATCCTTAGGAACTTGAAAAGTTGCCCCAAAACTGTGAGGCACACTCACAAACCCCAAACCCCCCTGACAAATGTATACTGCTGCTTTAATGGCAATCTAATGGCAATCCTGACCTGTTCTCAGATTTCACTGAATGATATAATTGCACTTGTTTCTCTGTTTATCTTTGCTGGTATCAAGTCTGCTAATGATCACAAAATTAGGCGGTTAGGTTTGGATAATGATATCATATGGCCAACACAAACAGCTTATCATATATCTGTACAAGAACAGGCCACTCAGAACTTGCCACTAATGCTGCTCGAGTGGAGCAGTGACACTTGAAATTAGATAACTCCAAAAAGATTATTAAAACCTACAAGCGAAGGCGGCCTTCGCTGCTTTGCTCTTATTCAACAACCCACCCCCACCACAGCCAGTTACCCATTCGAAGCGCGAGTCGCGCAAACCTAATAGGTCCAATCGCTGGGAAGGTTAACAGCGGGAGCAGCGACACCAGCAGCAGCTGCTGCGCGGGCTCGGGACCTGCCTCCCTTACCGCCCTTCCTGCCACTCCCCGCAAGCATCTCCTCCGGGGCAAGCTTGATAACGGGGGCAGCGCGCATACCTGCGAATCCGCCACCGCGCTTCGGGCCGGGAGCGGCAGGCTTCGCGGCGGCGGGCCCGGAAGCGGGGGCAGCGCCTCCAGGAGCGGCGCGGTTGAGAAGGACGTTGTTATTCTCGTCGACATCGAGGCCGAACACGTGCACGAGGCGTGCGGGAAGGTACACTGTTGCGCCAGGGCGCTGGGACTTGCGCCCGGCGTTGCTGGTATCCGGGGAAGGCTTGGCGGAAGCGGGTGCGGGGGCAGCACGGGGAAGGAAGACGCCAGTGCCGTTGCCGAGCGCCTGACCCTTGCGGGAGTCCGTCTCGCATTCCGACACGCGGCGGAGTGGGGAGCCCCTGGCGACCTGCGCGCCGTTGTGGTTGTTGCGCCTGTGTGGCTGCGGACCCGCGCGCCTGTTATTTCCCTGCTGCTGCGCCGCCTGATGGTGGTTCGCATGCTGGCGGTTGCCGTTGTGGTTCATCTGCGGAGCGCCGTACGCGGGTGCCTGGTGCATGTGGCGGGACGCGGGCACGAACGGCTGGGCGGCCGCGCGCGGGGGACCGGCACAGGCGGGCTTAGCAGGCTCGGGCTCCAGCGCGAGCTCCTGGATTCTACCCGCTGCAGCGAAGAGCAACTCCCAGGCCTCCGCGTTGGCGTTCTGGCCCAGCACCGATGTCGGGGATCCGCTGCGGGGAGGCGAGGTGAGGGAGGAAGTGGAGGAGGTGGAGACGGAAGACTGCGACCAGAGGCGGGAGGAGAGGCTCGACGAGCGCGAGACGGAGGGCGACGAGGAAAGCGAGCTCGAGGGGCTGGAGCCGCGGTTGCTGTGGCTGGCGATGCTGGCGCTAGAGTGGCTGTGCGCCATGCCGAGCGCGCGGGAGTGGTAGGTCATGGCGTCAGGGTGGTGCGGCGCGGGGTAGTGACCGTTTGGGGTGGAGTAGGAATGGCGGCTCGCAATGTCGCTAGAGGCGTCGCTCGAGTCGGAATCGTCGTCGTCGGCGATGCACGACTGTGCGACCCACTCGGCGATGGACCCCTCGCCCTCCAAAGCGGGCGCCTCTGGCTCGTCGACGAGCCACGTGGGGAGATTAAGGTCGTTGGAGGAGGGGATGGATTGAGGCGATTGCCATGCGTTGGGGTAGGATGCTACCGGCGCAACGAAAGCCGAAGTCATACCGAAGGCGTTCATGTTGTACTCCATTGGTGCTAAGAGACGGAATTGGACTTAAACTGAAGGAAGGCGGCTGACCGCGTGGGAGCTGGCGATGTGCTTGAAGCTAAAATGCTAAGGTCCAGAAACTCAGGTGGCAGTTGGGTTGCAGAGAATTTCACTTCACTCAGATGCTTTTGTGGTTGGGTTGGATGTCAGATTGGGGTTGAGAGAGAAGGTTGAAGGCACGAAAGAACTGGTGATGAGTGGACGATGGATCACTGGTTCTTGTACTAGTCACTTTCTTCCCCCAAGCACACGACAAGATGTGGGTGCGGCGCGACCGAAGCGCCAATCGTTCAGGAGGACTGTTTGAGAACGAAAACAATCGCTGCTGCCTGACCTAGCCGGAGCGCATGGAGGATGGGCCTACCTGACTGTTCTGACTTAGCGGAGAAGTCCCAAGGAGCTGCAGTGCCGCAATCAAGCGCAGGTGCGCAGGGGGATCTCCGTATCATGTGCTCGGGAAAACCATTCAATCCCAGGACCTGCCTGCGGCTCCGGATTTCCATTTCTCTGATATTGCTGTTCAGCGGAAGCCTCGGAACGGCCCTGAAGGGATCCGTCAGAGCAAAAGGAAGGGATGCTCGGAAATACCACCTGCGCCTCGTTACGAAGCACTTTATGATTTCCCCAACATCTGCAAACCAACCTGAACTGGTGCCGCAGGAAGACATCGCGTTTTCATGTTTCGTCCAAAATTCCATCGGAGACTGCTAGGTCAGCGCGGAACAATCATGACACGAAAGCAAAGGGAGGGTCACTATAGGGCGGCAGCAATGCCGACCTGATTGGTTCCAAGCATAGCGGCCAGGCATCAGGATGTCCCTCAGGGTGGCAAGAACTTCCCAACTCTTCGTTTCTCTAAAATCGGAGTTTCAGTCACATCACAGTCACATCTACAAAGAGCCAATGTTTCACATAGTGTAGTCCGCAGCAACGTAGTGAAAGTACTATAACGTAAGCAAACGTCTTAGAATTATGTCAGCTACCTGATTCACAACATCAACACTGAAAAAAACATATTTGATTAAGCTAACTTAAGCAATATTTTAGCATGATGTTTTCATGAGAATCATGATTAAAGAGAACACGCCTCACTGTCATGCATGCTAAAAGTATAAACTAGCGATATCTAATTTCGTATAGTGTAATCATCTGCACGATATCACATCCTAGAGAGGTGAGGTGGCGTTCGACCAGCTAGCGTACTTCGCGCAGCTTTCCATGATCCACTTTTCCACGGTGTGAAGCGTACTGGTGTCGATCGGGGGCGTCAAAATTGACCGTACGCAGCCCTCGTGTCGTGTGGCCGACAAGTTTACGGCTCGCTCCAGCAAACTGCTGCCAGTGCCAGTGCCTTGGGCTTTGTTCTGCTGGCACAAACGCGCAAATCCCGACTCAAACCAATCCCGAGGCACCAATAATTGGTTTCATTCTGACGAGGACTTCTCCAGGAATTCCAATCCCAGCACCAACGGGGAATTCATGGCTACTATTCCGGCATTCCCTAAGCTGCCTTGATAAATCACACAACGCCTGCCTTCTAAACAGTCTCCTCCTGCTAGTTTTGCACCCTTTGTATTTTTGCTGCCGCCGCGACCACGCGCTACCGTTTCACGAGCTCTTTTTTTGCTTCTCGATTTGGTCGCGATCGAGCTGGGAACATCCGCGCAAGCACGAACTAACAATGGATCGCAGGCGCCGCTGGGGACCGAGAGCGAGTGTTACGCCGGCCGCTTCTCGAGTCACCGCTGCCACGTGTCTACAATCGCCATCGTTTAAACGCCCCGCGCATAAGTTACATTCGCTATTCACCGCTGCGCTGCTAGCTGCCGTCGCGTGGTCCGCATTGGTTCATGGCGCGTCGGCGCAAGCATCGTACAGAGTCCCGACGTTAGGATTCTGTTGGGGCCGCGTGTCGCACCAACCTATACCGCCAGAACTCGTTGTCGACATGCTCGAGGTGAGCTTTCCACGCCATGTTTTGTACATGATGGATCGCCATGCCTGACAGGTACCGTCTTAGAAATATGATGCTTCTTTTATCACGCTGTTGTCGTACATTTTGCTGTAAAAATGTTTCCCCCCATGCGACATTTTTGAACAGAATTCATGCACATGCCGTTACACGAGTAGTCGTGACAACACAAGAGAAGTCACAGTAATTAATTAACAAAAATCCGTCACATACCCCGCGCGCACATACCCCGCGCGCACCTCCCACCTCCCAATTCACCCTTCCCCCAATTTCCTTTCCCTCCTCCCCCCCCCCTCCCACCCCCCCGCCCAAACCCTCCCAATCCCTCATTCCTGCGGCAACAACACCCCCTCGTTCCTTCCCCCTTCTCCCTTTCAACCCCCCCTCCCCCCCCCCCACCTCTTCCTCCCCGCCGCTCCCCCTTCCTCCTCCGCGCACGGGCGCGCGAGCAGGCGAACGGGGTGTCGAAGGTGAAGCTGTTCGACGCGGATCCGAACGCGCTGACGGCGCTGGCGAACTCGGACGTGGAGGTGATGGTCATGGTGCGCAACGAGTTCCTCGAGGGCATGGCCATCAAGCAGGAGAACGCCGACAACTGGGTCTACAACAACCTGCTCGACATCCTCCCCACCGGCGTCAAGATCACGTGAGTGCGCGCGCGCGCGCGCGGAAGAAGGGGGGGGAGCTCCGAGATGCCTTAAAAGTCCTCAAAAGTCGGTTTGATACTTCACCTTTCAGTGTCTCACAAGTGGGTGTGCGAGAACCTGCTCGACGTCCTCCCCACCGGCGTCAAGATCACGTGCGTGCGCGGGGGGCGAGGGGAATGGGGGAAAGAGGGATGTGGGGGATGGGAAGGAGTTGGTTGCGGGGGAGCGGTGGGTGCAGGGAAGCTGCGGGGGAAGCGGGGGACGGGGGTTTGAGAGTCTAGTGGCGGCGCTCACTTGACAGACCAGTGAGAAGGGGAATGAAAGGATTTCCAGAGACTAGTGTCTCCACTGTCCTCACCGCCGTCCTCAAACCAACCCTATCCGAATCTCGGGGAACCTAAAAATTCGCCCCTGTTGCCCTCTTCACCGATGTCCTCACCCCAACCCCATCCAATCCCCACCTGTGTCCTCCGCCGAACCCTGTCCTCCCCTCATCCCCTGTCTCCACCTCTCCCCTCTCTCCCTCCTCCACCGCCCCGCCCCCTTCCTCCCACGTCCGCCCGAACCTTCCTCCTCCCCCACGGTCTGTCCCTGCACACACATGCATGCACAGGTCTGTATCGGTGGGCAACGAGCCGTTTCTCAAGTCGCGGCACGACTTTGACAAGTTCCTGGCGCCAGCCGTGGCGAACATGTACCGCGCGCTGCAGAAAGTGGAGCTAGACCAGCGCATCAAGATCACCGTCTCCTTCAACACAGACATCATCAAGCCCAAGGACGACCCCGCTCTCGGCGAGTTTGCTTTTGAGTCGACTCTAAAACAGACCCCCCCCGTGCCCCCTTCCCTCCCCCCGTCCGCCCCCATTCTCCCCCTCCCCCCGGCCCGCCTCTGCACACGCACAGGTCGGTATCCGTAGGCAACGAGCCGTTCCTCAAGTCACGGCACGACTTTGACAAGTTTCTGGCGCCAGCCGTGGCAAACATGTACCGCGCGCTCCAGAAAGTGGAGCTAGACCAGCGCATCAAGATCACCGTCTCCTTCAACACAGACATCATCAAGCCCAAGGACGACCCCGCTCTCGGCGAGTTCCAGGACGTGTGGGTGGAGCAGATCAAAGCCATCGCCAAGGTTATCAACGAGACGGGATCGTTCTTCTCCGTGAACGTGTACCCGTTCTTCTCGTACAAGGAGACGCCGCAGATCGACACGGATTTTATTTGGTTTGATAACCCCGGGCAGGGGTGCGTGGTGTTTGATAACAAGACCAAGACGCAGTACTGTAACATCATGGACTCGTCGCTCGATGGCGTCGTGTATGCGCTGGAACGGATCGGGTACCCCAATGTGAGACCAGGGATGGTGCACGGGTGGGGAGTTAGTTGGAGGGAGGGAAGGAGGGCTGGAGCAAGGGAGGGAGGTAAGGAAGGAGGTAGGGGGTGGAAAGGAACGGAGGAGGGGGGAGGAAAGAAAGACACACTTCTTCCGCTCCCCATGCCCGACCCCTGACACACTGCCAGCCCTATCGTCCTTGCTCACGTGCATCTGCCGCAGCATTATTCAGTCACCTTGACCCCACGCCCTTGCACCTCCACGTCCCCTCATCCCTCCCTTCCTCTCCCCACTTCTCCTTCCCCCTTCTCCCCCCCCTCCTCTCAACCCTCTCCCCCTCCCCAGATGGAGGTGGTAATTGGAGAGGCAGGCTGGCCGAGCGACGGCCACCCCAACGCCACACTAGCACTCGCGCAGTCCTACAACAACGGGCTCATGCGCCACCTGCTCTCGGGCAAGGGCACGCCGCACCGCCCGAACCGCCTCTTCACCTTCTACATCTTCGACCTCTTCGACCAGGACGCCAAGAGCACGGCTCCGGGCCCGTCCCCACAGCTGATCTCCCTCTCCTCCTCTCCACCTTCCCCATCCCCTTTCCAATCCCTCCCCCCTACTCCCTTCCCCAGATGGAGGTGGTGATTGGAGAAGCTGGCTGGCCCAGCGACGGCCACCCCAACGCCACACTAGCGCTCGCCCAATCCTACAACAACGGGCTCTTGCGCCATCTCCTCTCGGGCAAGGGCACGCCGCACCGCCCGAACCGCCTCTTCACGTTCTACATCTTCGACCTCTTCGATCAGGACGCCAAGAGCACGGCTCCGGGCCCGTTCGAGCGCCGCTGGGGCGTGTATGACGACTACGGCCGGGTGAAATACCCGTTGGATCTGTCCGGAGGGAAAGGGTGGAAGCTGGCTCCGATTCCCAACGTCGTGCGGTTACGCAACCGCTGGTGCCTGGCGAACCAGGCGCTGTATACCGAGAAGGGAGCGACGGCTGCGGTGGTAGGCGCGCAGTTCACGTCGAAGATCTCCACGGTTTGCGCGAAGAGCGAGGCGGGGGATTTCGCGGATAAGGCAGATTGCACGCCGCTCATGATGCGGCTGTCCACTCCCGGCCTGCAGTGCGCTGCTAAAGGCGCGAGCCAGACTCTCCTGGCCAACGCCTCGTATGTCCTGAACGCGGTGTATCAGCTGTCGGGGCAGCAGGAGGCCGTGTGCACGGATGAAGGGCTGGGAGTGGTGGTTACGGATCAGGACCCGTCGACGGGGAGTACTGGGGGAAGTGACAATTGCACGTATGAGCTGGGACTGGATATGGACGCTATGAAGGCGTATACCCAGCCGAGTAAGGCGTTTTCGTGGAAGGTTCTGGGGTATATTGCGGCGCTGGTGCTGGTTCTGGCGAATATGCTGTGAGGGGAGAGGGGAAAGGGGAAGGGGAGAAGGGAAGGGAACGCAAGGGAAGTGACAGGGAGGCAGAGGGAGGGATCAGGTAACCAAGGTGGCGGGGGATGACATGCCTTGGCACTTCTTTGTGTATGTTGGGCTCACTCCGCTCTGTTGCCTCCCATTAAGCGATCCAAGAAACACACCCCTCTTTGCCTCTGTTCTTAGCAGGGCTGTTTCCAGTGCTTGCTGGTGTAGCGGTAGTGGGTTTATAGACAGGTTTGGGGTTCAGTTCAGTGCTGAAGGGAGTGGTTAGCACTAGACAGCATCTCAGGACTGAACTGTTTGTTTGGTACATGCAGCAGAACTGTAGCTACCGGTGGTAGATTGCAGTGTGCCATGCCAGTCATCATCAAGTAACACAACACTTGTTCAGGGATCCAGACAAAGACTGCTGTGTTTAACTCTAACAAGTCTTCTTCACTATGTAAGCAGCATGTAAGCTGCCAAATCGCAACCACATATCAGCAAGCAACCGGAGAGATTTATTTCCATCACCCAGATCAGCCCCCCTCCCCCCCCCCCCCCCCCCCGGCCAACCCAGCATGCGTCATCCAAGGTCATGTCAGCCCAGTTAGCCCAGACCATGTTAGCCCCTGCTTCCAGCAGTGCACCAGCCCAGCCCAGCCCATGTCACCAAGCGCGTGTGGTAAGTAGTGAAACCCAGAAGGAAATGCCATGCCATGCGGCATGGCATGCAGGCAACCTGGCATGCTGATGGCAGCCAGGCAGGCACTGCACGAGGAGTGCACATATGCTGCTGACTTTTGAGTCGACTCAAAAGCCAGCCAGGCAGGCACTGCACGAGAAGTGCACATATGCTTGCCTGCCTGCCTGAGCTCCACTCTCCCCCCTTCCCCTTTCCCCCCTCCCCCCTCCCCCCTCCCTACCACCCCCACCCCCACAACAACCACCACCCCCAAAAAGCGCAGTCGTAAACGCGCCATATATGTCCCACGACCATCCACCCACCCCATCCACTCATCCACCCAATCCCAGTCACCCAAAGATCCCTGTGCATCAGGACAGCAGGTCGAGCTTGAAGACAACACAGCGGGCGTCCTCTGGGAGCTCAGGGTCACCATCCCCGGGGTTCAAGTTGAACGTGGTCCCCAACAGTCAACCACCACCACCACCACCACCACCACCACCACAATCAGCACCCCGACCCATCAGGAAGGCAGGTCGAGCTTGAAGACAACACATCGAGCGTCTTCCGGGAGCTCAGGGTCCCCGTCCCCGGGGTTCATGTTGAACGTGGTCCCCAGCAGGTCCATCTGAGCCGTCGTCACCGCCACTCGCATGTACGCCCCTCCCACTGCTGCTAGAGAGTCTGCTGACTGGAACGTGCGCTGCATCAGGTCCTGTGGAGGGGAGGGGCCGGGGGGATGGGGGGATAGAAGTCGTGGGGAAAATGGGAAACGCTTGCCATCAGTTTCAAGACCGGTCGGGTGGAGCTTCCTAGAGAAATCAAGCAGACACAAGTGAGCAGGAACGCAAGCAGGCAAGAGTGCGAGCGGGAGTGCAGACAGGCAAGCAAGCATGCGTGCGCACTGTCAGAAGTAGTAGGAGTACGGCCTAGGCTTAGTAGCCTAGGCCACAGTAGGACTAGTAACGAGGAGCCAAGTACGAGCTAGGATTGTGTGTACGAACAGAATTGAGAAGGAATGATTGAACTAGCAAGCAGCAGGATACAAATAGCAAACCCTAAGGGGCTGTACTTACTATAGAGTACCCCACTGCAGGCTACACAAACAACATATTCTGACACACCCCCATAGCCAAAGTGGGGTGTAATCAGCACAATGAGCAGTCATAGCAATAGTTCATAATTATCAGCAAAGCTAGAGGCTATCACAGAGGGCAAGTGAGGAGGAGGAGGGACTATGAAAGGAGAGAAGATGGGAGGCGACGACTGAAGCTGCAGACACACGGGCAACAGAAGCGGCTGACACAGTGGCGGCTGACACAGTGGCTACCGAGACAGAGCGCCCCGGAATACTGGAGTAACTGGCTCTGCGGCTACGACGAGCGGCAGAAGCAACGGACCCACGGGCGACTGGTGCAGCAGGCTCTCAGTGGCTACCGAGACAGTGCGTCACGGAATACAGGAGTAACAGGCTCTGCGGCTGCGACGAGCGGCAGGAGCAACGGACCCACGGGCAACAGGTGCAGCAGGCTCTCTGAGCTACCAGGACAGTGCGCCCCGGACTACAGGTGCTGCGGACGACAAGACAGCAGCCTCCACTCAACCTCCCCCAACAGTCCCACACCCCTCTCACACACCCCCTGCTTCACCCCTAGCTCCACTCCCACATCACCCCCCTAGTGCCACTCCCCACGACTCCCACACCTCCACCCCCCTCAGCGGCAGCTGCAGCAGTGGGAGACGAAAAAGGAGGGGGGGGGGGGGGGGGGGGACGGGGCGGGCTTCTGCAGAGGCGGCTCGCGCGGGTCTTGGGGCGGCTGCTGCAGGTGCGGGCTGCTCCAGGGGCGGCTGCTGCAGGTGCGGGCTGCTCCAGGGGCGGCTGCTGCAGGTGCGGGCTGCTCCAGGGGCGGCTGCTGCAGGTGCGGGCTGCTCCAGGGGCGGCTGCTGCAGTGGCGGGCGGCTCCAGGGGCTGCTGCTGCAGTGGCGGGCGGCTCCAGGGGCGGCCGCCGCAGTTGAAAGGCAGAAGGGGGGGGGGGGGGAAACGCACGACCCCCAGGGCGCCCCGAGGGGCGACGAGAAGGGAGCCGCGCGGCCCCCCCCCCGGGGCGCCGCGACGGGCACCAGGGAGGGCGCCGCGACGAGCCCCCAGAGCCGCCTCGACGGGCGACGGGGAGGGTGCCGCGCGGGCCCCCCGAAGTCGCCTCGACGGGCGACGGGGAGGGCGCCGCGCGGCCCCCCCGAAGTCGCCTCGACGGGCGACGGGGAGGGCCGCGCACGGCCCCCGAAGTCGCCTCGACGGGCGACGGGAGGGGACCGCGCGCGGCCCCCGTGGTCGCCACGACGGGCGACTGGTGGGGAGGCCGCGCGGGCCCCCAAGGTCGCCTCGACGGGCGACGGGAGGGGAGGCCGCGCGGGTCCCCGAGGTCGCCTCGACGGGCGACGGGAGGGGAGGCCGCGCGGGTCCCCGAGAGCGCCTCGACGGGCGCTTCGACGGGAGGGGACCGCGGAGGCCCCCCCAAGGGCACCACGACGGGCGCCACGGAAGGGAAAACCGCCAGGCGCCCCGAGCGCACGGCGGGCAGAAATTAGGGTTTCGCCGCCGCGCACCACGGGGCGCGCGGCGGACAGTACGGCAGCGGAAGCGGGTGGTGGGCCCATACAGAGGAAGGCGGCAGACATGCCGCCCTCTGATACCATGTCAGAAGTAGTAGGAGTACGGCCTAGGCTTAGTAGCCTAGGCCACAGTAGGACTAGTAACGAGGAGCCAAGTACGAGCTAGGATTGTGTGTACGAACAGAATTGAGAAGGAATGATTGAACTAGCAAGCAGCAGGATACAAATAGCAAACCCTAAGGGGCTGTACTCACTATAGAGTACCCCACTGCAGGCTACACAAACAACATATTCTGACACGCACGGCAACCACGACTCACAGATCCTGTCAAGTAGAGATTTGAGGCGCCTCAAAACTAGCGCACGGCAACCACGACTCACAACCACAACTCACAACCACGACTCACAACCACAACTCACAACCACGACTCACAACCACAACTCACAACCACGACTCACAACCACAACTCACAACCACGACTCACAACCACAACTCACAACCACGACTCACAGATCCTGTCAAGTAGAGCTGTCCGCCCACGTCCTGCCTCTTCTCCTCTGGACACACCACCTCCCCCGGGCCACTGTTAGCCGCCACCACGCGCGCCACATACTTGCCCACACTCGCCCGCAGCCCTGCGGACGACAGCCGTATGTCCCCCCCTCCGCCGACCTGCAAGGGGGTGTTGAGCTGGAAAGTTGGGATCTGGCCTTGATAGCCGTCAACGAAGAAAGAGCAGGCGGAGGGGGCGGGGATGGGGATGCAGGCGGAGGGGTCGGTTTTGAGAATTCTGAAGAGTGATTGCCACATACATACCTGCAAGGGGTTCAGCTGGAACGTGGGGATCTGTCCTTGATAGCCGTCAAAGAAGAATGAGCAGGTGGAGGGAGAGGGGATGCAGGCGGCGGGGTCGCTTGGGGTGGAGGGGGATGGGGATGATGGGGAAGGGGAAGAAGGGGTGGATGGGGATGGGGTGGAGGGGGAAGGCGCGGAGGGGGAAGGGGTGGAAGGAGAGGAAGGGGAAGGGGAGGAAGGGGAAGGGTCGGAGGGCGAAGGGGAAGAGGGTGGGGGGGACGGTGAGGAGGAGGGAGGGGATGGGAAGGGGGAGATAGGTGGCGAGGAGGATGGGGAGGGGGATGAAGTGGGGGGAGGGATGGGGGGGAGGATGGGAGGAGGGGCGGAAGGGGGTTCTGCGATTGGTGGTGAGAGGGGTGAGGGGGTTGAGGGGGGGGAGGGGGGGGAGGGGGGTAGGTTAGGCGCAGAAGGGGCAGGAGCACTGGGGGAGGCGGATGGGCCTAGAGTGGTGCCAGGCGGTGGGGGGGACGCGGGGAGGGTGGGGGGAGAAGGGGGGAAATCGGAAGGGGAAGAGGGGGAATCGGATGGGGAAAGGGAGGGGGAAGGGGAAGACGATGGTGGGGGTTGGGGGATTTCGGGGGCTTCTGGGGAGAGTGCATTTGGGGGAGAAGAGGGGGAGGATGGAGAAGTGGTAGAAGGGGGTGCAGACGGGGAAGAGGGGGAAGAAGGGGAAGAGGGGGACGAGGGAGAAGAGGGAGAAGAGGGAGAAGAGGGGGAGGAGGGAGAAGAGGGAGAAGAGGGGGAGGAGGGAGAAGAGGGAGAAGAGGGGGAGGAGGGAGAAGGGAGAGAAGATGGGGGAGAGGAGGAAGACGGGGCAGAGGGCGAGGAGGGAGTAGGGTTTGTTGTGCCAGGGGAAGGCGGTGCGGACGAGGGGGGAGAAGCAGGAGATGGGGAGACCGGAGGAGAGGGGGAGGCTCCAGGAGGGAAGAAGGGGGAGGAGGGGGAGGGGGGAGAGGAGGGCAGAGGAGAGAGGGAGGGTGGAGGAGCAATGGAGGGGTTAGAAGCGCCGGGAGGGGAAGGGGGCGCTGGGGCTAGAGGTGGGGCAAGGGAAGGCGGAGGGGCCCTGGGGGACGGATTGACCCCTGGGGGTGAAGTTTCTCCCGAGGGGGGAGCGGTTGAGATTCCGCCAGGGGGGGGAGGGGGTGACACTCCGCCAGGGGGGGCAGGGGAAGATATTCCGCCAGGGGGGGGAGGGGGAGGTGGGGAAGAGGCGGCGCTGCTGCCGGGGCGAGGAGGGGATGATGGTGGGGAGCCCGGACTGTTGGTAACGGGGGAAGGGGGAGAGTTGGTAGGTGGAGGAGGGGGAGGGGTGGTGGTGGAATTCGGGAAGGAAGGAGCATTGGAGGATGGTGGGGGGCGCGGACTGTTAGTAATGGGAGAGGGGGGAGAGTTGGCAGATGGGGGGGGAGGTGTGGTGGTGGTGTTGGGGAAGGAAGGAGCATTGGAGGATGGTGGGGGGCGCGGACTGTTGGTAATGGGAGAGGGGGGAGAGTTGGCAGATGGGGGGGGAGGTGTGGTGGTGGTGTTTGGGGATGGAGGGGCGCTGGTGGATGGTGGGGAAGGAAGAGTTGATGTAGGAGGAGCAGGCGGAGCAGGGGGAGCAGGCGGAGCAGGAGGAGCAGGAGGAGGAGAAGGAGCGGGAGGAGGGAGTGAGTCGACAATGTCGCTGAAACCAGTCGTGCCTGATGGGATCATGGGAAACAGGAGTGGGGAGAAGAAGATGAAAGAGAGTTTGAAGCTGTTCACCTACCATGCATTTGTTCTGGTCGAGTGCCAAAAAGAAAAAGAGAGAGAAAAAAATGACATCATGTGGTGTGAGTCGTCTTCTCACATGCTTCCACTGCAAGCAAGCAAACCCTGAACCACTTCCCCAGATTTGAATACGCCGGACCTGCTCCTGCATGCCTCTGTCTGTCTCTCCCCCCTCACCTCACCTCCCCCCCCACGTCCCTCCCTCCCCTTGTACCACTCCCTGCTCCGCTCCCCTGGCCCTTCCCTTCCCTGTGCCCCTGAATCCCCCCCCGTCCACCCACCCTCCCCCCCATCCCCCCCCTCTCACCCCCCTCCGTGGCTCACAGTTGGTGTCAAGCCAGGAGAGCTTGTTGGCCTCATTGTCAAACACCATGTAGCGGTTGGTCAGCCATGAGTCTGCCGTGTGATGTGATGTGCACGCAGGGGAGGGGGGGGGGATAAGGGATGGACAAAGAGTGGGAGGTGGGAGGGCGGATGGGAAGGAAGGCGGTGAGGGGGATGGAAGCGGGAGAGAGGAGAGCTTGTTGGCCTCATTGTCAAACACCATGTAGCGGTTGGTCAGCCATGAGTCTGCCGTGTGATGTGCAGAGAGGGGGCGGGGAGCATGCAGGGGCGAGGAGATGATGGGACGGGCAGTGGGGGAGGTGGGAGGATAGAGAGGTTGAGCGAGATGGCAGGGAGGAAGCTTGTTGGGCGTCATTGTCGAAAGCCATGTAGCGGTTGGTTGGTCAGCCATGTGTCTGTGGCGCTCGCAGGGGGGGAGGGGATGTGAGAGAGAGAGGAGGTTAGAGGGGACTGTCTGTAGGGTACGTGTGGTGTGGTAGTGGGTCACCGTGTCGTGTAGCAGTGGCTGGCAGGCAGGAATCATGAGCTGAGCCTGCGTGCTCGGTGAAAATGCCTTTTAAGGGGGCGCAGAGTTGCAGACAACTGTTTTTGCAGGTCATTGCAAACTGAGAGACTGACCCGGGATGATGGTGTGCTGGTTGCTGTTGAGCGAGGGGGTGATGGCGAAGCAGATCACGTCCGCTCGCACCTGAGAGAGGCGCAGGGGTGAATAGGTGGAGGGGGGATACAATGGGAGCGACGGGGGGGAGGGAGGGAGGGGGGAAGGGAGGGAGGGAGGGAGGGAGGGAGGGAGGGAAGTTGAGAAAAAAGACGAGAATTGACTTGAAAAAAAAGAAGCAGAAATATGGTAACTGGAAAAAAAAGTAGAAAAGGGTAACTGGAAAAAAGTAGAAAAGGGTAACTGGAAACGTAAAAAGGGTAATTGAAAAGCTGAGGTCGGAGTGGTGACTGACAAGGTAGAGGTATGCGGAGGGCTGCACTGTGAAGAGTGCTCCGTTGGCGAGGATGAGCGAGAGCGTGGGGAACTGGGCAAGGAAGGCGCTCTCTGTTGGCCTGTGAGTGAGTGAGCAATGGGGTGAGTCGGTGACAGAGAGAGAGGGCGAGAGAGGTGGGAGGTGAGAAGCGGGTGGAGATGATCTGAGGCGATGAAGAGGAGTTTGAAAGCAGGAGGGAGGATGTGTGGTTGGAGTGGAGGGAGGGAAGAAGGGCGGGAGCGACAGGTCAAGGCGAGGCAATGCGGGGAAAAGAACGCCGGAAGAAAGGTACAGAGAGAGTAAACGGCAAGGGGATGAGGACAAGGACGGCAGGAGGAAAGGAAAGGGAGGAGGAAAGGAGAGGGGATTGGAAGGACGGGGGGGTAGGTAGGAGAGGAAGGGGTTTGCGGAGGGTGGAGCGTAACTGAGCGTAGGCGGAGGCGTTGAGGCAGTCGACTCCCTGCTGGTCGCTGAGAGTATAGTCGTACTTCAGGCCCGGCACCGCCACCAGGTACTGCTCTCGAGCCCATGTTAGTCATCACATGTGTGCGCATGGGGGCGGGAAGAAGGGGAAGAGGGGGATGCAGGGCGTGCGTGCAGTGAGGGGGATGAGAGTGTAGTCGTACTTCAGGCCCGGCACCGCCACCAGGTACTGCTCCCGCGCCGTGGGGGTGGGTGGGTGGGCACACGGGGGTAAAGGGGAAGAAGGGGGTACAAAGTGCGCATGCAAATTTGTGAGACCAATTAGAAAGCCAGTCGATGCCTTGTACTGTTTCCAGGTACTGTTTCCCCCCCGCAAGCGATTCATGCGATGCGGGCACACACGTGAGGTGAAGGGAACGACTTTTAATACGTCTCAAAGGTCCTTGCAAGGACCGGCACCGCCACCAGGTACTGCTCCCCGCGCGCACGTGTGAGCGAGGCATGCCATGCGGGCACATACGTGAGGTGAAGGGGACCAAGGGGGTGCAAGGCGTGCGTGCAGTAAGGAGGTTGAGTTGGGTGAGGGGGTGAAGGGGTGAAGGGGAAAAGGCGAAGGTTTTCACCCGAGCGTCCACGGCCTGTCACACCTGTGTCTACCTGAGCGGCCACGGCCTGGTAAACCTGGTCTGCTGTTTTCATTTCACCTGAGTGGCCATGGCCTGGTACGCCTGCGTGGGCAGCACAGTGATGGAGGCGGAGGAGTCGAGAACGGTGCCACCGTTGCCACCGTTGCCACCGTTGCCAGAGAGAGGCGTCCAGGGGGGGGGAGTTGATTCCTGAGACGTTTCAAAAGGTCTGTCTGTTGTGCTCTGCTCTGCTCTGCTCACCTGGGTGGCCATGGCCTGGTACGCCTGCGTGGGCAGCACAGTGATGGAGGCGGAGGAGTCGAGCACCGTGCCTCACTGCCTTCGTTGCCAGAGGCGTCCAGGGGCGTGAAAGCGAGTTTTGAGACGACTCAAAACCTCACCTGAGTGGCCATGGCCTGGTAGGCCTGCGTGGGCAGCACAGTGATGGAAGCGGAGGAGTCGAGAACGGTGCCGCCGTTGCCAGAGGCGTCCAGGGGCGGGAAGGCGGAGCGCGGCAGGGCGAGCGTGGCGTTCCCCACTGCCATGCCGGTGACGTTGATGAAGTAGAATGGCCTGCATGGGGTGGAGGGAGGGGAGGGAAGAGGAAGGGAGGGGGGAGGGAAAGGGGAGACGGGGTTTGAGAAAAAGTGCACAAGACGTTTCGTAAAGGGCCTGCACGCCCCACTGCCATGCCTGAGACGTTGATGAAGTAGAACGGCCGTGAAGTACGGGATGGGATGCGTTTAGGGTAGGAATGAGGTGACTTTTGAGTCGACTCAAAAGTCAGACGTTGATGAAGCAGAACGGCCTGGGATGGGATGCGTTTAGGGTAGGAATTGAGGAGGGGAGGAAAGGGGAGCAGAGGGAGGGTGGAGGGAGAGAGGGAGGGTGAGGGAGAGGCGTATGGTGATGGCATGCAGCACACTGCGTGCAATAAGCTACAGCTGCTCCTGATTCACCCAAACACCCTCTAAGCAATCCTCGCCTCGCACCCACCCGCACTCTCACCCACCCTTACACCCCTCATCTCATCTCATTTCGTCCCTCCACCCCTCCCTCCACTCCACCCTTCCCTCCACCCCTCCACTCCACCCCTCCCTCCACCCCTCCCTCCACCCCTCCCTCCACCCCTCCCTCCACCACTCCGCAGCTTGATTGCCTGCAACTCATTCAAAGTCGCTGGACACAATGGGGGTGGACTGCGCGCCAGCAGGCTCAGCACGCCCTTCTATTTCTTAGGCGCCTCAAAAATAGCCCCCTCCCCTCCGCACCTCTCCCTCCCAACTTCATTGCCTGCCAACTCACTCAAAGTCGCTGGACACAATGGGGGTGGACTGCGCGCCAGCAGGCACGCCCTTCACGCCCATCAGCAGCTTCCCCGCGCCTACTCCCACACCCCCCGCCTCCCCCCCCGCAACCTCCGCATTCCCCCCAGCAGCAGCGGCAGCAGCAGAAGCGGCAAAGGCAGTGACGCGTGCGCCCGGGTCGCCCTCCATGCAGAGCGAGAAGGCGTTGCTCATGGCGCCCTGCGCTGACAGCTGCGAGAGAGGGGACAGCGCCCCTCACCCCATGCCAAACACGCCGTTTGGGGCCGCGCTTGTGCCCGCCAGGAAGCCGGTCTGGTACCGCCCGCACCTGGTGCCGTGGGGTTGGGTGGAGAAGGGGGAGGGGGAGGGGAGGGGGGGGGGTTTGCAATATAGTAGGATGGGGTGGTGTGATGCATCTCCCCCTCCACCCGTCGCGTTCCCCCCGACAGCAGAAGTGGCAAAGGCAGTGGTGCGTGCGCCCGGGTCGCCCTCCATGCAGAGCGAGAAGGCGTTGCTCATGGCGCCCTGCGCTGACAGCTGCGAGAGAGGGGAGAGCGCCCCCCGTCCCATGCCAAACACACCGTTTGGGGCCGCGCTCGTGCCGGATAGGAAGCCTGTCTGGTACCGCCCGCACCTGGTGCCGTGGGGTTGGGGGGAGAGAGGGGAGGGGGAGGGGAGGGGGGGGGTTGCAATATAGTAGGATGGGGTGGGGTGATGCATCTCCCCCTCCACCCGTCGCGTCGAGTTCCCCCCAGCAGCAGCAGCAGCAGCAGCAGAAGTGGCAAAGGCAGTGGTGCGTGCGGCCGGGTCGCCCTCCATGCAGAGCGAGAAGGCGTTGCTCATGGCGCCCTGCGCTGACAGCTGCGAGAGAGGGGACAGCGCCCCCCGCCCCATGCCAAACACACCGTTTGGGGCCACGCTTGTGCCGGCTAGGAAGCCGGTCTGGTACCGCCCGCACCTGGTGCCGTGGGGTGGGGTGGGGTGTGGTCGGATGGGATGGGATGGGATGGGATGGGATGGGATAAGGCGTGCCCGTGAGGTGGGGTAGCGTGTGTGGGGTGTGATGTGATGTGGTGGGGAAAGCGCAAAGCAAGACAGCAAGGCCTGGCAGCTCAACTCAGCTTAGAGCCAGCCAACCTCGATGCAGCAGCAGCAGCAGAGCAGCAGAGCAGCAGACCCACCCAGTCACTCCCCCTCGTCCCATCCACTCATCCACTCCCTCTCACTCTTACTCTCCCCCCCGTCACCATCACTCCCTCCCCCTCCCAACCAACAAGCACTCCCAAGCTAGCAGCACCGCTCGCCTCACCCGGAGGTCACGCTGCCGTGCTAAAACAGCAGCGTGCAGGGCATCCCTGAGCAGATTCCCCACGCTGCCGCCCTCAGGCCCCGTGTAGGTAGCCGCGTACTGGCACAGCGGGTCCGGCGCTGGCAGCGCGGAGGAGACGAGGCAGCCCACGGAGGCTGTCTTGTCCTGTGCGGCGAAGGACGTGCACGCTGGCGAGAAGCAGAAGTTGGACTGGGAGGTCGCTGAGAGGGCTGGGTCGTACGGGGGTTGCACGGGCTGGTTGGGGTTGGGTGTGGGAGTGAGAGGGGCAATGAACAGGATGGCAGCGGGGGAAGTATGGGGAAGGGGGAGAGAGTGGGGGAGGGGGAGAGAGGCGGCAAGGAATGAGAGGAGGGTATGGGATGATGAGCAATGAGCACAGGAGAGAGTGAAACGCGTCTCTCTTCCCCCCTCTCCCCCTCTTCCCCTGTCACCCTCTCCCCTACTCCTGCTCTTTCCCCCTCCCTTTCCCTCTGGTAGGCGCACTGGATGCAGTTGGTGTGGTGTGGGAGGATGTGTGCCAGCCAGGGGACCAAGGGCATCTACGCCTCTCTCTCTCTCTATCCAACAGTCCTTGTCTACTCGACCCCTCCCCCCCCACCCCTCTCTCTCCCCCTCTCCCTCTCCATGCACACGCACCACGCCGCGTGTGTGTGTGGGTGGGTGGGTGGGTGGGTGGGTGGGTGGGTGGTTGCTCACGTGCGCGTGTGTGTGACTCTCTCCTCTACCCTCTCTCCCCACACACGCACCACGCCAGGCACGGAGCTCTGGGTGGCGCACTGGATGCAGTTGCAGGGCAGCCAGAAGAGGTCGGACGCCGTGTCCACCAGCACTATGAACCGCTGCTTGCTCGCCCCCACGCGCACCTCCGTCAGGAACGGGCTGGGGGGATGGGGAGTGGGGTAGAGGGGATGAGGGATGGGGCATGGAGCATGGGGCACGGGGGAAGGTGCAAGGAGGATCGGGGGACGGGGCATGGGGGGTGGGGCGTGGGGGATGGGAGCAGTTGCAGGGCAGCCAGAAGAGGTCGGACGCCGTGTCCACCAGCACTATGAACCGCAGCTTGCTCGCCCCCACGCGCACCTCCGTCAGGAAGGGGCTGGGGGGATGGGGAACACGGGGGGAACATGGGGGAGAATGGAGGACATGGGGGATGGACGATGGCGGATAGGGAAAAACGGATGGGGGGTGGGGAATGGGGAAGGGCTGATCGGGTAAGAGGGGTGGGGGGACAAGTGGAAGAGGTGTAGGCTGGAGCGATGGGAGGTGGGGGAGTGAATGCAGTTGTGGAGGGGAGCATTGGTGCTGCTTGCTTGATACTTGCTCAGACGTGACCAGTGTGTGCCTGTGCTCTAGCAGTAACACGCCACGCCACGCCACGCAACGCCACGCCACGCCATCCAACGAATCGGATCCCTTACCTGCCATTAGTGGACACTGTCTGCATGGTGCCATTGAACGGTTCCACGCGGGTGCGCACAACTGGGGCACTCTCTGTCCCTGACCCTGCTGCTGCGGCTGTGCTTGTGCTTGATGGTCATGGTCCGGTAGACCAGAGGAAGGATGTGGACACGGAGGGGAGGACGAAGCGGGACGAGGTGGAGTGGCGGGTGAAGGGGGAACCGTCGTGCTGCAAAGGGGGAGGAGAGGGGAGGAAGAGCGGCGAGAGGTGAGGGGTGGGGGGAGGGAGAGTTGAGGGGGGAAGGAAGAGTGACGAAAGAGAGGGAGGAGAGGGAAAGGGGAGTTTGAAAACCAGAACACAATCTCTGTCAGTCATGCCGCACGCTGCACGCTGCACGCTGCACGCACGCCTCGCTTGCATGGATGGGGCACGAACGACCTCGTGTGCTGCTGTGTGTACGTATGTGCATGCAGTGCAGAGCAGAGCAGCACACCGTGTGTTTCCTCTCACCTGCTGCTGCTGCAGGCCTGGCCGGACCGACAAAGAACCTCAAGGTTCCCTTCATGCCTGCATTATCGGTATTGGTATTTTCAGATTGTTTTTCTCGCAAGCAAGTTCAATGCACCTGATCTCATCTCACCGGCTGCTGCTGTGAGCTTGCACCATCAAAGTAGCTCAGGGTGTCTTGCATGCCTGCATTCGCCACTCCCCTGCTGCCGTCCCTACCCTCCCTGCCACTCTCTTTCACGTCCCTGAGAGTCTCTTCACGTGGAAACTGCACGTCAAAGGACAGGAGTGCAGTGCAAGAGAGAACTTTTGAGGCGCCTCAAAGGTGGCCCTGAGAGTCTCTTCACGTGGAAACTGCACGCCGAACCAAAGGACAGGAGTGTAAGAGAGAGCGACAAGACAAGTGAGAGGTGCTGACTGACTTCTGAGGCGCCTCAAAAGACTGACTGCACACCTAAGGACAGGGGCGAAAGAGAGAGGGACAAGACAAGTGAGATGTGTTGGCTAACGCCTGAGCAGCTGAGCGCACACAAACATTCCTTCTTTCTTTTCTTTCCTTTCCGTTTTCGGAATGGGATCTGCGCCTGCTTACTGACCCTCCATTCTTCACCCTCCATACCCACGGCCTCCATACCCGTTTTTGAAGCGCCTAATGAATATCCATTCTTTTCCCTTCCTACCCACGGCCTCCATACTCATGCCGCCCATTCTCCCCTTTCCTGCCCTCCTCCCTGCGCTCACCTTTTTCCTCCGCCTGCTCCACCCACCCACAGCCCATGCCGCCCTCCACACCTCACTGCCTGCTTCCTGTTGCTGTGAGGGGCACAGCAGGCCCAGGAATGGCGGTGGGGGGGGATTCAAGGAAGAGAGAGAGAGAAAGAAGTGTGCGTGAGTGCGTGGGAAAGAGAGTCTGTGGGGGTGGGGGTGGGCGGAAGAGGGGGAGAGTGGGGAGGAGAGTAGAGAGGAAACCAGTGCAGATGCACACAGCAGTGTTTGGGTCGACTCAACTATTGGCGCATTCATTGTGGTTTAGATGCACACAGCGGTTCTTATTTCTCCACACCCCCACCCCCCCCCCCCGCCCACCCTCCTTTTCCCCCTTGCCCCACTCCCACCTCCCCACTCTCACGCTTTTCAACATATACGCTCTATGTGAATACTCGAGCTGTCACCGTCTTTCACACCGTACCGCACTGCACCACACTCCATCCCACCCCACCCGCCCACGCCACTCGAAACGCAGCACCCACCGAGAGGCGTCTGCTGGTAGGAGCAGCGGCGGCAAGCAGCAGCGGACTGAACCACGCGGGAGCAGCGGAACTGCGGGCGCGGGGGAGCGAGGCCGCAGCAGGAGCAGCACCAGCAGCAGGAGGAGCAGAGGTATCGCGGGGCCGCGATTCGCTGAGAAGGTGCGGCGCGTTGGTCGCCGTGCTGCTAGTGAGCAAGAGACACACGAGAGGCACCAGCATGCCGCGCAGCGCCGCGTCGCGCGGCAGCGAGCCGCCACGACCTATGTCGCGAGCTATGCGGCCGCGGCGCGTAGTCGAGCGCCGCCGCGGCTGTGGCAGGCACGCAGCGTGCGTCGCTCTCCGCTGCTGCTGCCGTTGCTGCTGCTGCGTCTGCCGCTGCTGCTCGTCTGCCGGCTCCTCGCGTGGCCGCCGCAGCAGTTGCAGACCATTGCGTCGTTCAACGAATCGGGTGGTTATAGTTGTGTCATTGTCGATGCTCCAGCTACCATGGGGATCACCGGCGCTGCGACTGCTTCTGCTTCTGCTTCTGCTTCTGCTGCTGCGACTGCTACGACTGCTGCGACTGCTGCAACTAGCTCCTTCAGCGCGCCGATGTGCTCTCGCGCGATACCGGCGGTCGTCGGAACAGGCGCGTGAGTTCACTCAGAGGCGCCTCGAAAAATCGGCGTGAAATGACACGTCGACGTCAGCTTGACGACAACGGTCACATTAGCCCGACGCGACCCCCACCCGATTGCGACGCGACGTCGCCACGATTGCAACTGGCGACGTCCACGCGACGTCGATTTCCACACAGAGCCACGTGACAGGCAGCTTTCCTTGGCGGAAGCTGCTCTTGCGAGCGATCCTGCTTCTTTAGATGCAACGTTCTTCCACTTGTAGCAGAAACAGTATCAGCAATGTTACGTCACTGTCTACGTAACGCAGGCACAGTCACGTAAGTACGACTCGCTTGTTACCACGTGCTGAACATGTTACAATTGCATGTTCCTCCCAACCGTGAGCCGCGGAGGCGTGCGAGAGGTGCTGAGCTGTCGTAAGCGACAGCTTGTATTACGCAACGCGCAGTAAGGGATGGTACAGTAAAAGAAGCTAATGCCCCATTACGCTACCGCCGTCCTAGCAGTGTCAGCCAAGCACTGCCGTATGGGTTTGAGCACGACCAACTGCCATTCAACACCCCCTAAAAAATATTAACCTCTTCCCATTTTCAGTGAACCTGTTTCTGTGCGGTTTGCTCAGGTGCTTCGCGTTTTGAAACGAGTGAGTACGGTATTTCAGACGTATTCTGGGAGGCACACGCCCCAGCCGTGCTCCCTTGCCTCTGGACCAGGCCTGTCGAAGTTCCTGGGGCTCGTACTTGCGCTCCCCAGCTCCTCCCAATCTGACCCTTGGTTGGGGGTAGGTGAGCGTTTTGGCGCCCTTAAGGGTCACGGGCGCACCCCAAAGTCAGAAATTGAAATCAGGGCATGTTTGAAGTTTGCACTTACACTTCATTTTACTATGATAAGTGCTGTTATGTACTTAAATTAGAAGTCAAAGACACCTAACACTACACATGTCTTAAATAGTCATAAAACCTACCTAGCCTGCAAAGTTCTTATTCTCTACACTAACTACAGATATGGCATGCAGAGCTCAGCTACTCTACTCTAACCCGACATCCAATGCGAGCCTAGTTGGCAGGCTTCCTCCCCTTCCTCCCCTTATCCTCAAACAAGGCATAGGCCGCTGCCCAGTCCACCGGGTAGTCTAGCATCTTCACCGTCATCAGCTCCCCCAGCCTAACATCAGTAAGAGCAACACGATCCCACGACTTAATAATGTTTTGGCGGGAGAAGCCCCTCTCACACTCAACAGTGCTGAGGGGCAACACAGAGACCGCACGCCAGAGAGAGACTATGATGGGATAGTCATCCTTCCAGTCTGCAGTGCGCAGCATGTTGGTGAGAGCCTGATGGAAGCTCTGCTTCTTGAACTTCTTCTCCATGGTGGCTGTGAAGAGGCGCATCTGCGGCTCTATGTCAGCAAGAGCGACTCCTGCCAAGGACATATACAAAGTTAGATTACGTCATTGTGTGAGCATAATACGTACAAAGTTAGAACATACGTGGGTTCCTTTCATACTAATCTAGGCTTACCAGGTAGCTGGTTCTTGAACATGTCCAGGAGCTCGGTGAGATGGTGCTGCAGTCATGTGTCCTGCTCTCCTGCACGGAAGGGATACTTATCAGGGGTGAAAAACCCAACACCATCGAAATGGCGCAGGTCCGCCATCCTCTTCCCCAGCGCCTTAATCAGGCGCTGAGCGAAACGCCGCGCCAGGTCCACGCAGGCCTCCAAGTCGCATCCCCCCCCCCCGGGTTTTCAGGGTCGATGATGTCCTCGTGGAGCTCGATCTCGGCTTTTGCAGGTTTCAGGCGGTACGCTTCGTGCGCGCTTTCGCGAATCTGGTGGCGGACTTGCGAAGCTAAGGTGAACCTGACGGTAGCGGGCTGCTGACAGAGGTGTAGTCTGTGACGATGATGCTTGCTGGGCGAGGCGCGGGTCCAACACTGAGATTGCTACGTCTAGCATGTCTTCAGCATCCGAGGGTACGTAAGGCTCGGTCTCGGTCGTAGTATGAGAATGACTAACGTTCGACATGGGCAAAACTGGAGGAGGGGTTTCACCCTCGCTAGGATCCATTGTGGGAGAATGTGGCTGACGAAGCGAACGGGTTAGCTACCCATACTATAAACATCGCGTGCGTGAGCTAGGCGACGCGAGGTTTACTCGGCAGAGTGGTTGGGTGGAGGAGAAGTGCCATAGCATGGCACGTACGAGAGGGGAGGGGAGAGCTGAGGGCTTGGGTGGATGATACCGTGGAGGTGGTGGGATGGTGCGGAAGAGAAAACATGGGTGGGATGTGGTGGTGGATGGATTGCATGGTGGTGGAGAGGAATCGTGGCTCGCACGAACGAAGGTGGTGAGGGAGGGAGCTGCTGCGCTGGAGTGCTTCAGTTCCTTTGACGTGCTGTGGTTTAGTGTCTTAGATGTCTCTGTGGCCAAACAACTTAGCCAGATTTACCCAAGGTAATCCCATGTGTCACAGCTGTACACTGCGGCCAGCTCGTATTGGACGCTAAGGGAAGGTGCGGGTGCTCCTAGGCTGACTGAGAGACACGCTACACACACGGGATTGGCTACAAAACGCTAAGGGACAAAACCCCCTTGGCGCGCTCTAGTGCAGGCTAAGGAGAAAGAGGGGGGGGAGGGGGGGGGGGGGGGGTCATACGATCTGAAACCAAAACTTAGATAAAGGGGAAGGCCTGGTTTCGTCCCTTAACGCATCCGGGCAAGGGTCGAATGAAGCACTTAGTGGCACGGGTGGGGTGCGTAACAAAAACTTGACGCATTGGAGCTGGAGCGAAACTAGCCCTTAATGTTCAGGGCATTAAGGGCATATGCCCGTCAATCGACAGGCCTGCTCTGGACTGGAGAGAGGAGCTAGCAATGCGAACATTCGTCGTGTTGCGGCGTTCGGAACAATTTTGACTTGATTTGCTGCAGCGAGAAACTTTTTTGGGGGGGTTTGTGTTTCTCACCGAGAAACTTTTTTTGATTGACTTGTTGCTTGTC